GGAATCACTCAAGGTGGGTATTTCCATGTTATTATCTGGGAATATGTTTCGAGAAGTCATTCCTGAATTATATTCTGGTTCCTTTAAGGTCAACAAACATTTGGTATTTAATATGGTCACAAAATCAGCTAACCTATCCCCTAACTTGTGCTGGGGGATGACAGGGTAGGGTTTGTCAGGCTGTAGAGCTGGGCCAGCCCCATTCATATGAAATAAGTAGAAGATTCAGCAGCTCAGCATCTTGCTGACATGGATAGGTTTTCCAAACTGTGGAGATAGACATAGAAGAAGAGATTTGAGAGATGCCATGAATAGTGGTAAGTAGTAGGTGCATTTAAAAAATCTACCTGAGTTTCTCTGGCTTACCTATTTAGCAGTCAATAAGCAAATAAAAGAGTAGAAGGACTTAAATAGGAAACCATAGAATGGGTAAAACCAGAAAAGATGAAGATTAACATAACTTTGTGAGTAGCAGTTAAATAAATAAATGAGTTGAAGAAGGAAGGTGATCTAGGCTCTGACACATTCTCCTAAAATCAAGCTTGGCTATAAGCAGAGCTCTTCTTAGGGACGGAAGAAGTAGAGAAACAAAATCTGGAGTTGTGCCTCTGTGAAATTAAACATTGTCAAAAATATTAATGATAGGAGCCACATATTTCTCAATAATAACCAGTATTTTCCACCCAAGCAATCAAATTAAGAATTTTAGACTTTGATTTATTAACAGTGATGAGATTTGAGATAATCTAGTAATAAAAAAATACCTTTGGATAAAATGTGGATTGTCCAAGTTTGCATTAAGGAAAAGATAGATCAGAAGAGATCTGTTAATCTGTTGCTATTACAGAAGCAAAAGTTTTGAAAATCTGAGGGATTCAATTACTTAAGTCAGACAGAAAACTTACAGACTCGATAACTGATGTGGCTTGAAAATTACTGAAAGTTGCCCAATCAAATCATGTAGAAAAATAGTTCAGTTCTACAGGGACTAATTACAGCTTTGGCAGCACCTAAGAATAACACAGTTTGCAATAAGTGGAGAATATGGCTACTCATTTTGAAACTTACTGTGTGCAGGTGTTATATTAAGAACACAAGCTAAGAACTGGAGAGCTGCACAGATCAGAATCAGCAAGTATACTTAACCTGGACTCAAGAAATCTTGAAAGAATTAACTGAGCAGATTAGATTAAAAAGGCTACAAATTTGTACTGAACATTCTTTTTAAAGGAAAGTAATTAATAATGGGACACCATGAACACAGGTTTATCAAATGACAGTTTATGACTAACATGATACATTTAGTCAGTTAACTTCTCCAAAGCAGGGCTGATGTGGTTTAATTTTTGTATGACTTTACTGGCACACAAAGAGTGGGAGCATAGAGTAGGTAAAAGTTGGAAGACAACCATCAGCACAGTGGAGGTTCAGATCATCCCCCAGAGTACGCCTTAACAGCTGAAGTAACAGAAATTAAGCTAATCAACAGGAGATTAAAGGTTATGGGCATTGTGATCCACATCAGCAGTTTTTCCAAGTTTGTGGCAGGGCTGGAAACAGGATCATAATTTGAAAACTTCTTATAAGTTATAACTAGTAGCCCCCAGGACATCTCTGCTCCTAAATGACTATGATCCACCAGTGTTAACGACACTGTGAAAAAAATTACAGTTTTAGTTTCTTTTCTCGTATTGTGTTCTAACACTTAATCTAAAAATAACTGGTTTAAGTTTAACCAGCAATGCACAAAAATATATTTAAATAGAAAAAGTACAGAGAAGGGGTGACATTCAGCAGAACAGAGATCTTATTTTAAGCAGACTGAAGAGGTAGGTTTGCCTGGCCCACAAGATAAACCTTCACAGATTATGGTTACTCTTTTCAAATAGAACAAGAAATTGGGAATAAAGGAGAAAATTAACCAAACAGGTTATGTAAGTACAAACACAGTGAGCTAGGTACAAATAAATACACAGTGGAAGCTACATTTGTGATCCCTAAGAGAAATGTGATTCTCTAACAGGCTTCCATTTGGACTTGCCTTGTGCAAGATACCTGACTTGCTCATCTGCCAAATGAGACTTTGCCTGCTAAGATCTCCCATCTTGATTTTTACATAAAAAGGGCAGATTTTAATTTTTTTTTTAATAGTACCTAAATTCTTCCAGGAAATCCCAAGACCTAGACCAAGAAATTATGAGCTGGATTAATTCTGGATTCCCTAGTTGTCTCGGCCCGCTGTTCCACAGACACTTTTTGCTCGAGACACATCAAGTCTCTGTTGAAAGGCATCACTCTACAGACAGAAAATACAGACTTTAACAGTAAAATCCAAATTATACCATATAATTATACCTCAGTTATAGTCATAAAGCAGTCTTACTGTCTGAACCCATAAGAGTTTGGGATCTTTCCTCTGAAGGTTGCTTTCTTCATTATCACTTTTCTCCACTTTGCTGGTCCCTTGATCAAAATCACCATGCTTCACCGAGCTTCCTTTTAGGTTTACTGAAAAAGCTGCAGCAATGGTCAGCATTATTCTTTTGTTCCCAGCTCAGGTTCTTCAAACACTAGTGATCAGCATTTTAAAGGAACCCCTAAAAAAAAGAAATACGGCGTGCAAAAGCTATTCTGTCATCAATTGTATTTTTATTGCTCCTACATATACTTCTGCTGACAGTATTTGATGGTATTCAGATAGATTTGAACTATACCAACAGAACCTGAATTTCTTTGAAGCAACTATTCAGTTTCATGGATGGAGAGATGTTGCAAGCCACACTAAATGCACTCTGCTGCAGCAGAAGAGCTTGTTTTAGGGGGGGGAAAAAAAGTAAACCAGAAAACCTCACTGAAGGAAAACAACTCAGAATACTTACCACTTAATAGCATTACTGGTAAGGGTGAAGTAGTAATTTCTGGGTTATGCCAGAGCTTTTCATACCATGCCTTTAGACAACAAGGTGGTCAAAACAAAAGCGGATGTGACTTACTACTCATGCTGTCAAGGCCTTCAATCGAAACTTCTGCCTGTCACATTCAAGTAGGTAGAAGTATCCTGACAGTTTTCTTCACAGCTCGTAGATTATCTTTAATTACACAGGCCCCAACATTAGGCATGACCCTGTGCCAAGACTACTGCTACAAAATGAAAGCTAGCAATTCTTTCTAAATGGCTACAAATTTTCAGCAATATCAGAGTTTTGATAAGCTATGGAATACTACCAATATTTTTTCTGCTCAGAGTTGTAGTTATTGCCACTGTACTCATTACCTCATCATCTGAGCCCGAAACCTAATGAAATGTTCAGGGTAACACCTATTTTCCTGCTCAGAGCAACAGTAATGCAGCACACCACAGTGACCTAGTAACAGCAGCTCTTTAGAACAGCTAGTGCGGAAGCAAAGCCAAATAAAATGTTTTCAACCAATCAACCCAAAATACTGAAGATAAAAATTCTGCAGCAGGGATTATGGTGACAATAAACCCAATGTGAGGTTCACTGCTTACAATCTACCCCAGGGTATTATTCTGTGAGTAGTGTGGAGTGTTTGAGTAGACAATATAGCTTAGTAAAGCTATTTAAACATCTACCCAGCTAAAAATGTTAAGCCCAGCTTCAGTTTTGATACAAAATTTTCCCAATTCGCTATTTTTATATGTAAACATAATTAGTGTTTAATTTAATGTCAATACACTGCAACTGAAAAGGTTTCTAAATATCCATCATCTGTGAAAAACACTTCAGGAGTTCCACAAAATACACAGGCCAAGACTTTCAGATTTAAGATTTTATTTAGACACATCCAGCATGGTACACAAGTACAGCTATCCTTTTGCCATTGAAAGATGCTGTGTAGAAGACTTCAACTCTGAAAAAAAAAGAAGCATTAACAAATTTCAGAACTATTTAACCTCTGAATTTAGAAAAGCTATAAATACATGCTTTAAATAGAATTGTGATGGTTTTTGCTTCATCCACCACATGCTTTTGTAGCAGACATCTTGACTTACATGAAATCACACAGTTCTAAATGCTCAAGTTCAATGAAACTCTGCTGATTATTTTTTCTATCCTTATTCTAGGGAGCCAAAAACATCAGACTGGCAAAAGGAATTACTTCAATTTGTTCCAATAAGATTTCAGTAAGGATTGTTATTCCCTTCCAAGAACTACCTGGGTCATTCCAGCTTCCTTAAAAAGACTTACTGTTTCTCAGATTATAGAACTGACAATACCAAGTACTTCCAGAGCAGAATCAGATTAAAGATAAACTGAAGCAGTATTTCAACTGGAAATGGCATGCTGCAAAGTCTGAACTACGTCTGAGGCGTGCTTTACCTGTTAGGATTATCATCAAGCATCAATTAAAAACATTTCTGCTGTTAATGATCTTATTTTAAGTGGACTTTATCCTGTAAATAGTTCGGAACACTGTACATAGATGTGTGATTGTTCTGATATGGTAGAACTGAAGTTCAAGAAATCTTGTTTTTCCACTGAGTTTTAACTGGCACATCAGAAAGCGTTTACAGTATCACAGTTTCTCATACTGTTTTGTTCACATCACACATGCCAGTTATTCCTACAGATTACACAAAGTGTGGCTTTATTTTTCCTCAAAGGAGAAGGTAGACATGGTTTTGGTTACGGTTATTATCCAAATCTAATCAGCAGCACTCTTCTGTCAGTTAGCCCAGCTGCTGACTATCAAGAAGCTGCAGTCAGAGAGGTGTGGCCTTTGGGGAGGCAAAGTTCACATGTCAATGAGAGTGCAGCAGCCCTGGACAAACCTAAACCTATTAATTAGTTGAGTTTAGATGCAACTGCAGGCCACAATTCTAAGTACATGGACTGTGAAAGACTGAAAATTGCAGAAAAACTGTAGTTTTATATGAACTTGGACTCTTTAGAGCTCAGTTTTGACCACAGATTCCACTATGTTATGAAATCTAACAAAATCAGTTACCCAGGTAGTGCAATTACAGTCTGCACTCTTCATTTCTTAAGAAGCTGGTGTCGGACTATAAAGAAAGGGGCGGCAAATCCACTTCCAAAGAATCCACACATTAGTACAAGTAATCGCCATTTGTTCTCCACAGAAAATGGAAGGTTCTGGAAGAGAAAAACGAGTTTTAGTTTTGTAATCAATACAATAATTACTTCCTCATCAACTTGAAAATGGTGAGCAGGTCAGAGCGCTAACAGATGGAGTCAAACTGACAAAATAAATATTCAGTCTCAACACAGTTTCCCTTCCTCTCAAGGAGAGAAACACAGTAATTAAAATAATAGCTTGGATGTGACCTCTGGAGGTCATTTTGTCCACTCTTCCCTTCTCTCCCAATTCAAAGCAGGGCCAGTTTGCTGAAGGCCTCATCTAAACACGTATAAATGTCCCTGAAAATACAGGCCTCACAGCCTCTCTAGGCAACATGTATGTAATTGTATTTACTTACCTTAATTATTAAGATTTTCATCATGTTAGAAATTAGTTTTTAGATGTAGGCCTGAACACGTTAAGCAGAAGGTACATCAGAAAGCGTTTACAGTATCATTGTTGCCGCTCATACTGCAATGCTCATCACCTGTACCACGGAGGCAGAAGGTTGCAGGGAAGGACACCAAAGTCATTCACACCACAGTTTGTTCTGCTATGGCTAAAACAGCAGTACCACGAGAACCCAAAGCCCACCAAACACCAGCTGGGGAGAGATGGTAACAGGGAAGTCTCTCTGCTCAGCACGACCACAGCCAGTTTGCTACCAAACCTCCCTTTTTTTTTTTTTAATGGCCAAAACCCCCCTTTTTTTTTTTTTTTTGACCAACACCCCCTTTTTTTTTTTTTTTTCCTTCCTTCTCTGTTGTCAAGCTTCTTCATAATGGCTTTAAAAAAATTCAAACTCTTTTGGTGCTCTCTACATATTTCGTAAGACAAGTTCAATCAGAGTGAGGAGTCTGTGCTCAGAAAACAATCAAGTTATAGTTATAATTCATTTATTTCTGTCCAAACCCCCCCTTTTTTTTTTTTTTAATGGACCAAACCTCCCTTTTTTTTATGGACCAAACCTTTGCCGGGGCTCATGGAGGAGGAGCTCGCCTTCAGCATGCCCGAGGCGGGACAGGCCTGTGGCGAGCCAGGACAGGCCGGCAATGCGGCTTCAACACCCACCTTAGGGCCTCGCTCCAGCAATCTCCCAATCCCCCCGGCCCCTCATCCAGACGCTCCGGGGGGG